TGAGCAATACATACCCACCGGCATACCCTGCAATGGCTTGCTAACCCATCAGGTGCTGTCCACCCTTCAGACTATGGCCTCAGTTTTTGTTGTAATCGTTTGGACATTCTCCTGCCTTGCATTCATCAATTTCAGGCACTAGTAAGCATAGACTCATGTTCACAGGCACAGGCTGACCAGCGTATACAGTGCCAAGAAGTTCCAATCGGAGATTGAAGAGCAGCGAGACTTCCAATACCTGCTCAGGTCGCGGACTGTGGACGGCTCCGAATATCCTTGGGTCTCTAGAGGCCAGCCGTGGGTAGCGTACCTCGCCATTCTTGGCTGCCTTCTCATCCTCGTCGCTGGCGGCTCTCCGATATGGAATCGATCGATCTGGGAGGACAAACATGCTGCTGCAGCGGCCGCTTTGATCGGCGGCTATGGCCCTATTGTCCTCCTTGTACTACTCTGGATGATTATGAAGTGGCGCAAGACAGGTTTGAAGGTGCGAGCGTGGTGGCCTAACGAACTGAAGCACTGGTACACCGGATTCCTGCTGGCGCTAGAGGGCCTGCATCAGGACCGTGAATGGGCAATTTCAAGCTTCGAGGAGTATCAGAAGGAGCGGGCGAGAAAGGAGAGTGCGCAGCTTGCTATTCGTGAAAAGAAACGGCAGCAAGAGTCGGGATGAAGGTTCAGACAGGGTATGGATGCAGCTCAGGGCGAGCCCAGTGACAGTAACATGCTCACAAGCAGATTGTGAGGAGGGTTTGGCTGTACTGGTCCTTCGACTAGTCCACAGGCTGGTTGAGGCAGTTCGTGGATGTGATTCGAAAGCAAGATGATGCTCGTATCGAACAGTCCTGTTGTCATGACGTGGTAGAATCGTCTGAGCCAGATAGTCTGATGCTCCGCCTTTCAAGTGAGCTGTGAATATAAGAAGCGCTTACTTTGTGTATCACAGTGTCTTGTCAAGACGGTTGGTGCAGCACAGAACTGCATGATGTGTCCGTCTTGGTGTCAGATCAGCCTCAGCCGTCGAGGCACTCATCGCCCAGCTTTCTCTCCAAAGACGGTATGTGCTCAAACAGTTCTGCTGTGCTTAGGAGTCGTCCGTTCTGCCCGGGCGAGCTGAAGCACAATGTCTGGATAGCACCTGAGCGCACCCTGCAAGTTGTAGAGCTGTAGTGTCCGCAGTCTAGATGTACGATAGCGGACTGCTATCCACTATGAGGGAGACGCTGTGCATGGTTCGCTGCTGGCGTAGATGGAGATCAACAGTCAAGCAGCGCGAAGCCTTCAGTGAATGTATCAACTTGAATGTACGCGGACGGATGTCATGATGTCATTTTGCGCCGCGCGAAGACGCGAAGAGACAACACGCGTTTGGGTCCTAGCTTCACAAGGGCCGGCTGCTACATCTCATGTCGCGATTGAGGAACATATGCTTATCATGTTGCATCGTCATGCCTCGACCTTGCAATCTTGACCTTTTCTCATGCACTTGAGCTTATGCTGGTACCTCACAATACGCAACAGAACTTGTCTCGTCGAGGTTGTTGCTGTGACCAGGTCTCCATCGATGAAAGAAACAGGTGCTAGAGAACGCCCTTGACACTGACACCGGCATCGTGCTCGAGTGCCGTGATAGCACTGAACGCACCGAAGACCTCACGGCTGAGCGATCAAGACCATAACTCATTGTCTGTCTGTCCTTACAATTGAGCAGAAAGTACACTCCGAGTAACAACATCCTTCCTCCTTCTCACGCCTGCAATCTCGACCTCAGCTGTTGGACGATGATCCTCGCTGTCACTGCATCAAGCCACTCGATGTCCGTCTGAGTCTGGACATGGGCCACAACTGGTTTCCACTGTCTCAGCGATTGGTTCATGAGCTGCTACGCAGGCTGTCGACGGCGAGCGTTGTTGCGCTACTGAGCACATACGCCGACTGATGACGGTATGCCCACACGTAGCGTAGACGGTGAGGACGACATAACACCTGCTGGTCAGTCTCGAACAGTTGTTTGATATCTCAACTTACATCCTTCTGATCTCTTGGGGCTTGATCGACTTGATGTGAAGAGCTTGGTTCTGTTGGAGATGGGGCGAAATAGATGAGGAGCATTCACTTACTCTTATAGGGCGGGTCTGATGCTGTGTCGTGAGACTGGTCACATACACTTGTCTTCCAGATTGTTGCTTCGCGGCTGGGCTGCGCCGCTATGCATGACACACCTACCACCTTCTACATTCTTCCCGCCCTTGTCCTTTCGGACACGGATGACAATTTCTCCTGCTTTCGAGCTCACACTCAGATGAGTGCATACGGTGATGCACGCGAATCCTGACAGCTTTCTGATAAGTTATAACGAGCTCGTAAAAGCGGTCTCGAGGCTTGAAAGACACCACATCGGACCGTGTGGCTGCTTCAAAGCAGCGTTCGAAAGCTGGGTACGCTAGAAAGCTCAGCACCACATCGAGAATCAGCCCTATAGAAGCAGGATCAGCTAACGCTATACAGGCGCCGTCCTATTGTGTTACAGGGACTAAGATACAAGCTGCACGTCCCTATGGACGACCGATCGCCTATATTTAAACTCGACAACGGTCATTCAGCCTCCTTCTGCATTGATATCGGACGTCATGTGCAGCAAGGTCAAGAACTCGACATCGACAACGGCGCTTTCTCGGCCGCTGCTCAGCGTTTGTGTGTCACCTGACAAGACCGATGGCCCTTCGCTGTGGCCGTGGGTCCTCGATCTACAAGCCGCGCCTTGATGATCGAGTGCAATCATGTGCATCTATGACTAAAACACCAGGTTCTCTTCTGCCAGCTTGCGCGTCGCGCCAGCTCATCGATGTCGAGGCTGTCAAGCGTCTTCTCTGTGCGACCAGGATGGGATAGCGACGTTTTTGATCGATGGAGTGTTTGCACATTTCTATATCGACCGCTCTAGATGCCTGACCTACAAAGATTGTTCTGGAACAGTCGTAGGATTGGTCTAGAACATCCTCATGCGCCACGCGGGAAGTTGTCTATGGTGATCAAACCAGCGGTCACGTCTCACACGGCGCGGAGGTCCGACGAATTACAGAATGATTGGCCACAGAACATCAAATAGCGTCTATGGCATACAAGTTCAAGCGATGTGGCTCAAACATGAGATCGTCTTCCATCTGCTTGATCACAAAATGACCACAACATTTGGTCCTCTGATAGCCATGCGCGGCCAGACCGTGCCACGACCGGCATAGCCAGGATATCCCGGGTACTCACTTTGAAGGCTCGAGCTGCACTGTGCAGATAGTCTGGCGCTGCCGTCAACGTACCCGATAGTCATGCATGGCATATGCGGCTCATATATGTATGTTGGGCCACAATCGTATTGCAATGCGACTTGCAGACACTCCAGCTCATGGACACCATCACCGATCAAACGATATTCCAAGCGTGCGGCTTCACACGTGGTGACCCAGCAAATGAAAGGCTCTTCGCACTCATGCAGGTTCGCAAGACTTCCTCTCCCGGCGCCTTGGCTGATATGGTCAGGTGCAAGCGATGCTCGTGGCACGCAGACTCTTCGCTGCAACCTCGCAACCAAACGGACTTACCAATGGTCATGCAATTCCTCAGATTGGCGAACCGATGCTGCGCGCTGGCATATTCGAGGTGTACCAAATCGCACGCGAAGAGACCAGGGCGGTATATGACAGGATGACTACGCCTGATGGCGAATCCTGGGTAATCAGAGCCTTGCTGTGGCGTTCGCTGGCACGCTGTGCGGAGGCTCACGACGAAGATTGACAGCCATTACCCATACTATACTACCGCTGTATGTCCGGTTAATATCACGGCTTAATACTTACGAAAACCGCCATGAAAGTGCAGTAGAATCGTTTTGGCGAACATGCCGGGCGTTGGACACGGCGGAGAGCGTGATGGCAGCCGTCGTCAGATCGCACGGCAAGTATACTGTTGCAAGTCACCGTAATGCGGTATGAGACACAACCAGGACCATCGAATGCATGTGCACGTACACCCACCGGACGCCTGGACGTTGCCGTTCACATCTACCCTAGCGAGGTGGATCTTCATTACCGTGCCAATACGGTAAGGTTGTCGGGAGAGGTCATCTTCGTTGACCGGGTCGTTGTGTTGATGCTGCAGAACAGATCATACTTTCCGGAGAAACATCTTGCTCACTCTTGCACTTGCGGAGATCGACCGACACATGCAACAGCAAGGGAATACTCTACGCCGGTTGGTCGTTGATTGCGAGTGGTGAAACACAATCCAGGATGTCTGGTGGCGACATGCACATCAATCTGTGGCTCAACGCTCCAGCTTGTCTCGAAGATGTTCGACAGAAAGGCTCCAATGCTGACGAGCAAGCTCAGTCCACGGCATACTGTAGAGGTAATACAACATAGTAGTCCCGAGTGGCCGACGAGGAGACTGGCCAGAAGAATGACTAGCCACGTCGAGTCCAATCTTGGAGGAGCTGAATCACCTGGCGATACACCGAGCTGTGTGACCAGAGGAGGGAGCGTGGAGATGGTGAAACCAACTTGAGGAGTTCTCGCGATTGACTCGTGTTTCCCCGACCTAGCCATGTAATACCTGCCTCTTCATGTTGAATTGCTTGAGACCAGCTACAGGCCGTCTCGAAGGGAGAGGACACCTCCCAACTGTCACAGGCAGATTTGATGAGCTCTGGCCGTAAGTCCTTATTTAACAATCTAGTCGTTTGGCAGACTCAGGAGAATCGTTGAAAAGACTGTTGATTGTCGTTGAATCACCTCTGGACCCCATACCCTTATGGTATCAGACCACTGCATGGCTCCCGCTCTTCAACACACTCGAGCACTCGAGCACCTGATCCGAAAGACCATTTGAGATCGTTTCACTGCTTGGGACTGCCGTGGGCTCGAATCAATCAACAATGAACCTACAGCCGTTGGAATGCCGTCGACGAGAAAAGAGAAAAGCTCTCGGCAGAGCTCAAAAGCAAATCTCCCTCTGGGGATCGAACCCAGTGCCTCGGGATGGTCTACAATCCATTACAGTCCCACGCTCTTCCAGATGAGCTAAGGAGAGTTTTCATTGGCGAAGCATTGAAATTTCACGCATATGTCCCTGCTGCTACGAGCTAGCATGCTACGCACGAATGCTGCAGCTCCCTTTGCCTACAAACGGCTGCGTTGCCTGCACGTCGCTGAGCTGCAAGTAATTCGCTGGCTCCATAGACCTTCACCAACGCTCAAGCTCTGTCTAGACAGAACGATATACGACAATAGACCAACATACCTTGCGAGTCTCTCCAGCAGAGCCTCACGTGGAGTCGCCGGCATTGCGGCTCAGGCCTTGCATCTTGTCTTACGCAGAAGGCTGGCAAGGCATCTGCTGTGAAATTGACATCAGCTCTTCACTGTCGAGACGTTGTCCCTCATACCAATGGACAATTCCACGGAGCTGGTGGGGCATCGTACGTCACTTTAACACTGCTACCACTCCCCACCTTGCCACTCTTACCCAATGACCCAGCTCGATCAGAGATCGAAGCATTGCTAATGGACCGGTGTTGAGCTTAAGCAGTTCGCCGCATCAATGCAGTGTCTTCCGGCAGTGGTGTGAAGATCTGGCATCAACATAAAGTCCCGCTCGACCTCCAGCAGTTTTCCAGACTTCTTGCATACATAACCACCTTTCACACCACCTCTACATCAATTCCACCATGTCTATCCAATCACACGCATGCTGCACCGTCCCAGCGGTCGTTGACCACGACTACAAGGAGAAGGGAGAGTATGTGACCATTGCTGGAACTAAGGTGTATGCCACTGGTCCAGCAGATGCCACCAAGGCAATCCTTGTGATCTACGACATCTTCGGATACTTCCCACAAACTATGCAGGGTGCTGATATCCTTGCATACGGTGACAAGGAGCAGAGCTACCGAGTGTACATGCCAGACTTCTTTGATGGAGAACCAGCAGGTGAGCAGTTTCCGAAGATAGATTGCAGTCGTTGACGCATGCAGATGTTGCCTGGTACCCACCACAGACCGATGAGCACAAGGAGAAGCTGGGCAAGTTCTTCGAGACCAAGGCAGCACCACCAAAGTCTATCGAGCGTGCTGGCAAGATCATCGATGAGATCCAGTCAAAGAAGAACATCAAGGAATGGGGTGTATTCGGACTCTGCTGGTAAGAGAGTAGGAGTTGCATGAGTGGAGACTGACACCACCAGGGGAGGTAAGGTCGCCAACTTGTTGTCTGGCAAAGACACTCGCTTCAAGGCTGGTGCTGCAGCTCACCCAGCAATGGTCGACCCAGAGGATGCCAAGAACATCACAATTCCATTCGGTCTTCTGCCGTCGAAGGATGAGCCAAAGGAGGATGTCGAGAAGTGGGAGAAGGCTATCAAGACACCTCATTTCGTCGAATGGTACCCAACACAGGTCCACGGCTTCATGGGAGCTCGTGCTGAGCTCAAGGACTCCTCTGTCAAGGCTGAGTAAGTTGTGCTGATGTATGTCCAAGGCGAATGCTGACTATGCCTTTAGGTATGAGAAGGGATACAAGCACTTGCTGAACTGGTTCCACGAGCACTTGTAAGCGTTTCGATCATGAGATGCCAGTGCCATTCTTGGGTCCGTAACACACGACAAGATATCTGACATCAATGTCATGTGAACGAGTTGAAGATATGCAGCTCCCGCCGTACAGTGAGGTTCACGAAGCGTCCTCCATTACACTTCGTCCAGAACCTCGTCGAGATGGCATCGCGATGGTTCTCATCTCGTGTTCTCTTGACGCTCAATCCGTGTGGTCGCCTGCTCGAGTTGGCGAGTATCGTCACTTGTATTTGATCGTTTCTGAATGAGTCCAGCATGGTTCCTCGATGCCACACCTGACAGCGAGCGACCAGTGTACGGTCTTGCCAGCTCTTTCTGTGCTTTATGAGTGTTTCCGCCGATTGTTGCCATTCGTTCGACAGCCAATCGACAACACTCGCGACGGAGCTCTGTACTGGCTGTTAGACCATCTGGATCCCTCAGCATGATCAAATATGAACCACCAAGGTCATAGGGCTTCTTCGTGTCACTCTCTTCTCGTGCAGTACCATCCCAGTTCCAACCGCAATTTCGTAGCTCTATAGAGATCAATTGTCTCACCCTGTCAACAGCGTGGCTGCGAATGAACTTCGACTTTGACAGTGCAGTTGGAGACTTGATGCAGATGTGTAGCTTGGTTGGATCGAAGGCAGTGACTCGTCTAGTCGCACGTATGTGGAATGGAGAGTGTCCGACATGCGCATGACGGTAGGCTGCTGGTTGTCCAAGGAGAGTGGTTGCCGTCGGCTGGGCGCCATATGTCATCGAGAAGACATCCGTCCATAGTCTGCGGAGTGCTTTGTCTGCCATATAGTTGTTGAGGTAATGAAGACATGGTCGAACATAGATGCTCCGACAATAATGCTTGGTCCTGTCACTAGCGCGGATGTGCCTTCACCTTCACGCGACCTCACCTCGTCCAACATCGACTCACGTAACCCACAAGATGAAGTCAGTAACGTGGTTCAAAATGCTAGGCGCGTATGTATTGATGCAGGAATGATGAAGGACGAGACTGATTTGCCCAGGGGCGCCGTCATGTGCATTGGCGGACCAGCTCTGGTATGGTATGTCACACCAACGGAGGAGCAACTACTCGCTCGATACAATCCCGAACTACGCAAACGAGCACTCGAATCACGCCAGGAACGACAGGAGGACTTCGATAAGTTTGTCAACAAATTGAAGAACTACTCTAAGAGCGAAAAGCCCAGTACGTAGTTATTTGTTCTGGTGGCGACTTTGCTAATATGCCTCAGTATGGTCTGTCTGGGAGGAAGAAGGTGAACGCACACGAGCAAAGGCAGCACAAGCAGCAAGGGATGCGAAGCATGCCGCAGATACAGCGGCCAACACCCGACGAGACGAGATTCGAGGTTCCATCAAATGATCTTGACGACATAGTCGCTTTGTACAACTATTTGATGACTACCTCTATCGTCTGTCCAGCGGCTAGCTCTCTTGCGGACAGGGATTCGACCGGTTGAGCTGGCGAGTACAGCCACCGGACGATCAACTTTCCTGTGCAGCAATGCTTCTTAGAGCTGTTGCACTCTACACATCTCCATCCTCGAACACTGACTGGTTGAAAAAGCGATGAATCTCTCGTGCATGCTCTCTGCCGATCATCGCAGCAAGCTCACTCTCCTCAGCATTGGCAACTGCCTGCACATTCTCCATATCCAGCACCAGTCGATTGAGTGCTTTCGGCGTGATGCCAGGTACAGCACGCAGCATATCTTGAGGCGTTTGAGTGAATGTCTTCGAATCAGGATCTTCGCCTTCCTCCAGTCCGATTTGCACAGCTTTGATAGGGTCTGGCTCATCTTGCTGCTTCTTCAGCTCTTCAAAGATCTCTGCTGTCTGGTAGGGAGAGCTTGACCAGATGATGCGAAGTTTAGGGAATGCCAGCGTCAATTGTACAAGCTTAGTCTGTAGGTCGGTACCAATGAGACTTGAGGTGCCCAGACTCGAGCTGAGGTCTGCGAACGGCTCGAGCGTGAACGCCTTTTGCGCATCAAATTCGATGAGCAGCATTGGACTTTGGTAGTGCTGAAGCATGGTCTCCGCTTGATTGTACAACCGGCCGTCCTGGAAAGAACTGATCAAATCCTTGATGCTCTTTCGCTCGATACAGATGCTTGGCGTGAGGACGTAGTCGCCGACAGTCAGCATACATGGCACGACGACCATGCTGCGACCATGTAGGAGACTGGGCAAGCTACTGCGAAACTCTCGGACATCGACAACGACTCGAGGTGGCTCTGCTGTCGCAGCAAGCCTGCCACCGCCAGCGATTCTGGTGTTGACGGTTCGAAGGAAGCTCTCCTGCGGATCGAGGTTGACCGCATCATGTGTAAACGTCAATGCCATATTACCTCGCTCGCGGATCAGTTTTGTGAAGGCGTCCTTTTCTCGGCGAACTGCTGACAAGTAACGCTGCTCTTCAACACTACCACCGTAGTACATGAAGTACACTCGCACCTGTCGGTTGTTGTGGCTGCTTCGATAGACTTCAACCCTGCGGATGAAAGCCGAATCAGGCTCATACATAATGATATACCTGGGCTTGATCTCTTCGAGCAGATGATCGTCCATGTCGCCGTCGTAAGGGTGTATTATCATTAGATCTTTCATATCGTACAATTCGTAATAGTCGTCCATGTCTTCCAAGGGATCAGCGCCAAAGTCAATCTTTGCTGCAGCTGTGTCCTCCATCTCTGTCGGTGCGAGATCTCGCAAGAGGTTCTGAATGTGAGCGTCCTTGTCACCTGCGACATTCACGCTGCCACTGGCTGTTCGTACAGGGCCAGAAGGGGCCCCTCCTCCTCGTATTCTCCTTCGCTTGTTCGGAGGTGCTCTGCCTCCTCGCGTGCTGCTGCTGCCATGTGTACTCGTACCATTGATGACCTTCTGATTCTCGGCGAAAAGATTACTGCTCACCTTGACAAAGTCTCGCTTCCATTGGAGATAGTTTCGTAGTTTTCGCCGCATCATATACTTGCCGCTCGGCTCTCGTGTGCCATCACCGTCGGGGCTCTTCCGAGATGCCGCACGTTCGTCTGTCTCTGCATACATCGTCTGTAGGTATTCTCGCAACTGTCTGCAAGAACCTTGATCACCGCACATGATCAAAATACCACCACTAGATTCATCGAATGGCTTTGGATTGAAGTACAAGTCGCGCTCTATCTCCTCGAGGATCTCGGCGAGCTGGGCCCACTTGGGTAGTTCTTCAAGTACAGGGTTGAGATCGTCCTTACCAGGTCTCAATGCACCGTCGGTAATCTTGCCGGTGTATACTCTTCGTTTTGCTGTATCGAAAAGTGTATGTGCGGCATCGAGGAATAGCCAAGGTGATTGCGACTGACGTGTCGAGCCATGTGGAGGAGCAGACGCTGCATGTACAGTGTCCAAGAACTTGTTGAAGCTCACAGCATCGAACACGAGCAGGGAATGCAAGATCGAGCGCAGCATGCTC